TAGCCATAATCCGCATCAAAGCGAGATTCTTAAACATCTCGCTCATCTGCGCCCACGCCTCGACGGAAGAGAAGGATGAGGTATCCCAGGATCTCTTCTCGCTCGTACGATCGCTGCCCCCGCCACGATATCAAAATCGTACTTGGCGACATCAATGCCAGGGTGGGCAGGGAAGGGATCTTTGGAACCACCGTCGGAAAATTCAGCCTCCACGACGAAACGTGCGACAACGGACTGAGGCTGATCTATTTCGCCGGGCCCAAAACATGGTAGTATGCAGTACTAGATTCAAGCATAAAAAGCTGTCTCCGGATCGAAAAACGAGAAACCAAATCTACCATGTTGTGATATATGGAAGGCATGCTTCCAGTATTTTGAACGTATATACACTCTGAGGCCCAAACATCGACTTGGGTGCAGCCAAGATACGCACCCGCCTCTGTGCAGCAAAAAATGTGCGCCCGAATATGCAAGGAAAGCTTAACGTCGAAAAGCTGCAATCACAACAGACAGCCAATGCATTCGCTACTCGACTCTCACACCTGCTCTCAGAGAGCACTCTTCAACAAACCGACATATGCGAGCAGTGGAACCACATTTCCCGCTCATTAAGTACCGCCGCCGAAGTAGTAGTCGGATTTCAGCGAGCCCGAAAGAACAACTGGTACGATGAGGAGTGTCAGGAAGCTGCAGAGAAAAAAGATGCCGCCTAAAGGGCCACGCTGCGATCGAGCGCAACGCGCGCTATGTGGGACCGCTGTAGGGATCTGAAGAGGGAAGCGAGACGTATTTGCCGCAATAAGAAGAGAGAGGCCGAAATACGTGAGTGCGAAGAGCTTGAAATGCTGGCCGACAGTAAGAATGCCCGAAAATTTTACCTGAGGCGACTTACGGAAGGTTTCGAGACCAGGGCGTACTCCTGTAAGAACAATAATGGCGACCTAGTCACCGCTGTTCAGAACGTACTTAAATTATGGAGGGAACACTTTTCCACGTTACTGAATGGTAGCTGCACGGAAAGTTGTGGAGAGGAAGAACTCGAGCCCCCAGTCGATGAATACGAATAGCAATAACGCGGCTGAAAAACAACAAAACTACTGGAGCTGACAGCCTGTCAGCTGAACTATTCAAGTACGGTGACGAGGAGTTGATAAGGTGCATGCATCAACTCTTATGCTGAATATGGTCAGATGAACGCATGCCCGACGACTGGGATTTAAGTGTGCTCTGCCCAATCCACATGAAAGGCGACCCCGCCATTCGAGGGTTGGGCATTTTAGAGTGAATATTCTAGTTAAGTATTCTATTCTGCTTTCCGTTAGATTTTGTCTTATTAATCAGTGCTTATGGCATATAACGTTTTTAAGGTAGATTTTAATGAATTGCTGGAAGTTTCACATTTTATCGGGAGAAATAATTTTATTTCCGTCTCACTCCGATAAATTTAAATTAGTACTGCGCGCGTCCCGATATCCCGCGTCCATCTCTAATCGATACCAAATACAGATACAAATAAATCCCTATAGATTCGAAACGAAAATTCCGCTCGATTCCCAAAACTCCAACGCGCTAAACAACGGGCAATGAACAATACGTTAATCTGACAACTGACAACGCAAAGCTCAATTAAGCTAAATATATACAGATGTAAGTACATACATATGTATGTACATATATGCATTCATGTATCTCCGTAAACTACCAAAAAGCTATCAGCTGAGTGTCAGCGCCCCAACTCCTTTGGGAAATGTCAGGAAGGTGTTTAGCAGAGCAGCTGAATGCGTAAGTGGAAAAGTATGGATACACACATACAAACTACTTTTAAATAAATGCTGCACAATATAGTATGAGTGCTTAAAACATTTACGGTGTTTAGCTGCAGGCTCGTAAATTATAATTTGCCGTCGGCAATGTTCAGCTCATTTTTCAACATCTTCTTGTTTGCCTTGCTGCGATTTTTTAGCCAAATAAATCTGGTGGGTAAGTACTAAATTGTCTCCTTGCGCCAATAACATCGATATATTATAGTTTACGATCCAACTATAAGTGCCGAAGATATGACAAAATAATTTAAAAAGTCGTTCCCTACGTTTAGAAAACAAAAAATAAAAATTGAATTGCCCTGCCAACATACTTTCAGACTCAGGGATGTACGGCGACCTTTTTTTCTGGTACGCTCTAATGTGTATGCGTATCTAAAGCGGAGCAGCAGTTGTGAAAGAGAATGAATAAAGTACGTAACGCAGGCATATAAAAAAGAAAAACTGCTGGGTGGCACATAAAACGGCAGTAACTTTACGGTACAGACACGCTTCTTGAAAGAAAACCAGAGCATAAGCTTTTAACTCTGATCATGATAGCCATAGTGGATATGTACTTACTTATGTATGTAAATATGTGTGCAAGTTTTTTATGTATGTATATATTTTAGATTATGTATATGTTTCCGAGTTTAACATTGCGTAGCGCCTAAGTACAACTACTCTTTCACCTTCAACTCTTCTCTTCTTACTTTTTTGTTAGTTACGTATAGTAGTTCGTAAAATCGTTACTTACATGATACTGTAAGGATATTCTCAACAAAGACTATAAACAAACCACTAGGTGGTGGCGCATTTTCTTTAACATTGTTTTAATTTCAGTATCCACTTCTCAGTATTTGTGTGAAGAGGATAGAGGAAAAAGCCACTATTTTGACCGGAATTGCAATCGGACCATGTCCTACCAAAATACCACCCAAAATTACAGTTTCTGAGAATACATGGGGGTCAAAAATACGTTTCTCCTATCCTGTTCCGGTGAGGCCATGCAGGTTCCTACTATATCATTTGTACTTTTAGGTCTAGCCTTGCAAGTAGAAGATAACCAGTGCGACCGTAAGAGAACTGTTTTTGAGCGCACAAGGACCTAACTTCCGATTGGCTTACCGTTATCTTATAGTTATATAGCCAACCGTTTGCTTTGTCTGGAAAATGCTGCAGTGTTCTGAAAGCAAAAATTCTAGACTGATGAAGAGTTCCCAACAGAAGATCCCTCCAACGAGGATTCCTTTAAACTTCACACCCCACTGATCACTTGAGGGTACTTATGTGAGTAAATGAAGCGCTGATTGAATGCAGTCGAACCGCCCAATTATCTGTGTTATCAGGAACGAATTCGAAGGTATAGTGGCTGATCTTAGAGTCAGCTAAGCATCCAGTGCTCCCGTGTCTAAACACAGCCCACTCACTGCAGCAGCGACTTTAAATACGTTGCCGACGGGTTTGGAGACAGGAAATAAGCGCTGGGGGGCTAAGTATGGTGAATATGGTGGATGGCGTAACAGTTCGCAGCCCAATTGATGGATTTTTTCTTAGGTGACTACAGAAGTGTACATCCGTGCATTGTCTTGATGGAACAGCACTTTTTTATTGGCCAAGCGCGGTCGTTTCAGAAGAATAGCTGCGAATTGCCCGGTCGACAGACCCTTTTTGGGCTTCTTTGGTGCACTTCTTGGTATATGGGGTATTGTGGTGGATCCATGTTTTGTCAGTGGTTACGAAACGGGGCAAAAACTCGTTCGGATTGCAACTGAACATCGCCAAATACTCATTTGAAGTAGTCAAACAGATGCGTTTACCGTCGAGTGTGAGTGAGCGCGGCACCCATTGCGCTGATAGCTTTTTTATTTCCAAATATTCATGTAAAAGGTGATGAACCCACTTAATTGAGATGCTTACAGCCTCAGTCACTTCACACTTCCGTTCTTCGATGGTCCAATATTCTTCGATGGTCTAATATCATTCCATAGATTTTATGGACGATTTCTGGCGCGTGGGGACGCGACGTCTTTTGGGCGACCTGAACTTTCGTAGTCACTTGTGCTGGTACGACCTCAACGGAACTCAGGAAACCCCGTTTAACCATTGAAATTGATGGTGCAGCATTCCCAGAGTGTTTGGTTTCGGTAATGGATTTTTTACGTAAAAACTAATGCTTAATCAGCACACGAAATTCCCTTTTTTCATTTTAGTTAAAATTCTTAGAGATGGTTTGCTTTGAATGGCTGCCAAACACAAATAAAATGGCGCAGCTTGCTCAAAATTTTAAAGCATAATTATTGGCACTTGGAGGAAGCAGTATTGCATTTAAATTTACTGCGCGGGAAATTAAATAAATCACTAAATTTTCGAATTGCACTCACTTCACTTTTTCAAAGAAAGCCAGAAGCTTATCTCTTTAAGAGATGGATTTGAAGATGTCCGATAGTTTCATTTCCGATGTCGGCTTAGAAAATGGCGAATTGATTCTCATCTTCTCTCTGGGGTACAATGCCCCACCCCCCCCTTCCCCTACTAAAGCTAATAACCTCAAATACAAGCTGTATCTTAAAGCTTAGAATCCAGCTCTAAAGAAAATCACAATAAATATTTTTTATTGAAATTATCTGTGGACTTTTGACAAACCAACTTCTCTCGAGTGAGGTAATTTTCTCTTCAAAGCTGTAATTTATTGAGTTGTCGATTGAAATTTTTATGTTCAGTCATTAATAGGAGTAGTTCAAGATGCTATCTGAATGAAATTTAAATAAAAATAATAAATTTTTAAATGGAAGTTGCTTAAAATTTACTCTAATTTTCAACTTACAGCGGTTGTTTTGTCAAAAGTGCGCAGATACATATGTAGTTACGAGGAGGGCTTATCCGTCTCTCTGGCCACGGGAACTTTTATTATTCGGGAAACTTCGTGAATGTGTCAAAAAAAGAATTTTAGGATTAAGATGAACGATGAGGAGCCCGGATGGTTGTTCAAATAAAGGAAAGATTATGATGCATTTTGGAACGAATTTCCGTCATCCCTTTTCCAATTTGGTTTGGAGACAAACCGGTTTCGGTTGTGCCATCTTCAGTGTCATGGCGGAAATTCGCTCCAAAATACATACATCATACACCCACCCTCTGTCGGAAACAACAACAACCAAAAAGGAAAAGACAGACTAAATACCACTCATTTCGACTTACCTGTTTATAACTGGACGCTGTTGTTATAAAAGCTACTACTGCTCCCCACCAGAGTTGAAAACTCAATCTCCTGCGTTTAAAGTGCGAAGTTGAAAGCGTTTTTTCTCGCTCCTGCTACACAACACACAATTGATGTACACTGTTGCCACACTTTTTCACTACACAATTTGGTATGTGTTTTTAACTGTTAGCTGATTCGTTAAATTCCTCTGTTACCAACTCGAAGTTATTAATACATACGATTACTACTTACAAATACATATGTATATTGATATGCTCACACAGCCAAGTAAATTAGATATAAAAATTTGATTGTGATAGATTTCATTAAGTTTTAAATTCTGTGAGCTTATATAATTTTTTTTTTTGTTGCGATTTTTCCCACTTTGAATTTTTTTGCAATATTCTTTGTACAGCTGGTAACACTTTTAAGTAGCTATCACTAGAAAAGAAATAAAATTAAATTTACTAAAGTAAAAACTTTATGCGCCAGCAAATAAATGACAAAAATACTAAGCGATCGATTGATAAAACTTCGAAACGGTCGGCAAGGAGAATCACTTTTACTTTCACTGTGATTTTGCGACTTAATGTACTTATTTATTGCGAAAATTTGCGCTTTTTATTTTGTTTGAACATCGTTGTTGTGTACACTAAGCTGTGTTAATTGTGTTTTTTGTTACTTTTTAAGTTTTTCTTTTGCTTGCTTATTTTCTTTTTAGTGCTTTTGTTTGCGCATTAAATTAAGAAACTTGTTTGTTTTACTGGCCCTGTTGACTTTTTAGTGTCATTAATATTTGCACATGCTTATGCATTAATTTTTTTTTTAACTTTTTACGAAATACATATGTAGTTAGTTATCTCGATAAAATTTACTGTTACAGTCACACTTTGAAAAATTTTCACTTCCTTTGTGGCCTACCGTACGAATTTTACACGTTTTTTTTTGTTTTGTATGAAAAATGCTTAAAGTGGTATAAGTTATTCACAAATACTGCAAATAAATACTTCCATGAAAGGAAAATAACTCCAACAAATAAAAAGTTCAAGTTTTTTGTTCTATTGTTAATCTTTTAGTACAAATGAGACCCTTCTAAAAACAACTACACTTCCCTTATTTTTTCTATAGCTAATCCATCAATACCACTGCCGTCGGTGGGGCTTTCATAGGTTAGAGAGAGAGAGAGAGAGAGATAGAGGCAAAGGAAGTCTGAAGTAGGACAAAAGAACGTATAGATGTATGCATCTAGGCAACTCACAAAAAGTCTCCACAATGTACATATTTGGCAACTATAGCTATAAAATTATGAAGTACTTTGCTAAGCGAAGAATAATAATTATTGTGTGCGTCTACTTTCGGCTCGGCAAAGAATTCAAAAATAGAGCTCGATGAAGTAAGCATTTGAAGGAACTACATATTCTAGGCAAAGCAAGATCTCTTTCTCTATCCTCGGGAGCGAGGAGTACCAAAAAAGAAGCAAAGACGAACTAAAATTATAATGACACGGATAGTTCGCTTCAGTTATCGACAGAGAAGTAGTCGAAGCTTGTTTTGTTCTCGGCTCAAAGTCGACAAATGGTTGCAGAGTCCAAATGAAACAACACCGAATTTGGGCCGTTTGGGAAGAAGAATAAATGAACACAATGAAATTTTTATGTTCAGAGAATTCTTCCACATTAGGGATGCTAACTTGCATTTTCGCTAGAGAATATTCAACGCTTGTTTTGTTCTTGGCCTAAAGCC